GCGGTGGTGCCAACAGTGCTCTGAGCGTCGGTGATATTGAGATCGATCTACTCCAATTGGACTTTGTGTACACTACCTATCGCATGGAACCTAATCTCACCGATCGTGTACGCCTTCCCAAACAACTCTATTTCCACACGTGGTGCCCTCGTCTCATACAAAAGAGCATTTCAGATGATGCTGGTACACTGGAACTGCTTCACAATGCGGACATTCCACGCAGGATGATCCTGTTCTTCACAGATTTGACTCATGGTACACAGCCAGCATTGGCTGGAGTTCAAGCATCGCATTCTTCGAACAGACTGGCCATGATTCATGCAAATCTCAGTCAACTTCGTGTCACTGTCAACGACCAGACGCTCTTTGACAACCCGCTCAAGTTCCAGTGGGATGTGAGTCGTAATACTGAAGGGCAATACTTCTACGATTACAACAAATCCTCCTACCTGCGTGGCTACAATCTGGTTCAAGACTTTTTCGGCAAGACGTATGGAACGCAAATCCCCATCACCGCTGCAGATTACTGCAATCACTACTTTATGGTGCCTATCAACTTGAATCTGGATCGGACCACAGACAATCCAAGATCGAGAGGAAATCTGTCCATCGACTATCAATTTAGCGACGTGACAAACGCCCCCGTGAGGAGACCTAGCGAAAATGGTGCCTCGATCAAAGTCAACCTTCTCTGCATGGACAAGTACTTGTACACCATGAGCAAAGATGAAGGTATCAAAGCCGAAGTTGTATGAATTAATTCCGACCTAGTAGTAAAAGGGCATCATGGAAGGTGGTGACCTGGAGACCAGACATCGTGTCTACGGTGGTGATTTGAAAACATCGAGTCGACAACACGGTGGATTCTTCTGGAAAAAGAGCTTCTGGAAAAACCTAATCGGTGCTGGACCGGATGAGATGGAAAAGCAGATGGCGGAACCCACGACAAAACAAGATGCAATGCAACGCGGTGGACTTGGACCCCTGGCTGCCATGGCAGGAATGACACTTCTTCCCATGCTTTTGGGGAGAGGAGAGTCCGGAGACATTGTGGAAACGCAAATGAAAACAGCTTACAACCCTGCCATGCACCGAGGAGGTCTAGCCATTCCACCAGGATTAGCCGCCAAGGCCATACCACTCCTGACGAACCTGGCTGCTCCCTTGGCCATGGGTACCATGGCATCACTGGGTGACAACGTAATGGATAAAATATTCGGCAGAGGAGTAAGGAAGGGAAGCTCAGCAGGTGCCATGAAGCGCACTAAAAGTCGTCGTCGTCGGCATGCACCGAAGAAGATTCGTCAACGAGCATCTCGAAAAACCAAGAAACCAGCTCGTCAAGTTCGCTCCAAAGGCCGCAGGGCACGAGGAATAAAGAAACAAGGAAGGGCCTTGTTCAAAAAACTAGGACATCGTGCCCTCGACGAAGCTTCATCGTTCCTGTCTGCACCTCGTAGATCCCTAACCCGTCCTGAAACTCCATTTGCTCAAAAAATTCGACAGAACATTAACAGTGCAGGACCGTCTTCTATGAGTTCCGCTCACATCGGTCCATCCTACAACATCTGATCATGGACTTTATCTCGCTCCTTGGACAGGAAATCGGGAGGAAGAAAAAGACTAGTCCCGTAAGGAACGACGATGTTCCGACCACGGCCACTGCTCGACACGGGCTGCACATTCCTGGTCTTCAGTTCGAGTCTAAGGATTGGTTCACGGAAATCATTCCTGCTCTGAAATCCTGGGGTCAAAACGTATTGTTTCTGGGACAGAGCAACATGGGTAAATCCTACTTTCTCATCAAGCTCCTGAAACGCGTGCAACCTGAGCGTATAGTTGTCATCTCCAACACGCCGGCCGATCAGTATCGTCTCCCAAGCCTCAAATCCTTCAAGCATTACAGCACCATGCCCGAGTGTATCGAAGACATGGATCTCCAGCCTAACACCTATGTGATCATTGATGACATCAGAGTGATGGGTTTGAAGCACGGCAGTCAAAGAGAGTGTCTCTACAAGTTCTTCACCATGTACAGTCATCATCATAAGTTGAACGTGTTCTTTCTCTCTCAGAGCTTTGATAACATTAAAGACATGAAGATCAATGCAAACTTTATGTATCTATTTCGCTTCACTGATAAAAGCAATATCAAGCGTTATCTCAATACTCTGTTTGGTGGTCTGTGCACGAAGTCATCCATTATCTTTAGATTGTATGAGAAGTTATTGGCGGTGTGTCGCAGACCTATCCTAACCATTGATTGCTCTTCTAATCAGTACTACACGTATTGCGAAGACACTGCATTAAAGGTGACTTTTGAATAAAAACCTCGTTGATGTGCGTGTTTAGCCGAAAAGTTAGCCGAAAAGTTAGCCGAAAAGTTAGCCGAAAAGTTAGCCGAAAAGTTAGCCGAAAAGTTAGCCGAAAAGTTAGCCGAAACATTGAAAAAAAAAAATTCCAATAATGAATAAGAATGGAGCATCTTACGGTGAAATTCTCAAATGGGCTACCGAGCAGTATACAGAGGGTGGGGTCCAGAAAGGGATCCTTCTCGATACCCAAGCGTAAAAGGTTGCAAACCTTGCAGTTTATGTCGAAACATCCTCAACACATCCTCAAGAAGAGAGTAAATTCGTGGGAAGTTCTCGGTATACCACCACTCATGCGGCAAAAAGGAGGTAATAACTACAATACCTACTTGAAAAGCGTCAAGAAAGTTCTTTCCCAAGTGCCAGATCACAGTTTGAGCACCTCCACCCTGTTGGAACTGCAAGCTGATCCGCGAGTAAAGCGTCTATATGACACCCACTTCAAAAACAATCCCGATCACATCAGTTACCCGTCTGTGAGAAATGTGATTGCATCCAACATACTCAACTATGATTCCACTACCGATCAAGTTCGCGATTCCGTTGCAGATGTCAGGAAGAAGAGAAAGGCACCTTTAACATCAGTGCCTTTCAATCTATTACAAGACCACGAATTTGACCGATGGATCCTACAAATCCTGGACAGTTTCCTCCGACATACAAATATACCGGCAACCTTTTTGAAGAGCAACTATTTCACAAGCCGATCACAACTGCTGCAACTCTACGATGAAGATCGACTGAGGTTCAGGAGTCGGGTGGAAGCGGCTGCGGATGCCCTGAAGACGCAGACGATGAACGACTACACTACTCTGGTCAACGAGACGAATCGCATCTACATGTCCAGGTACCCATTTGCAACCATAGCGGGTGCGGTGGGAATCCACAAACATGTCGATGGATTCCTTCGATCAGAACGAAAGATTCATGAACTAGCCACCCTAGTGCTAGCTGTACCAGGATCGCAGCTCAAGTTTCAAGATCTCAACGATATGACTTCTACGTATGGTAGAACAACTGAAGCAAAATTGATCCATCCCGAGCATTTCATGATCAGAGCACAAAAGGTGATGGTGGACGATGCATCATTCATTCAAGAGGTTCTGAAGGATAAAAGCAGGATCACTCGTATCATCAAGGATATCCTGAGTGGACGTTCAATGTGATCATGTGCGCGAAAATTTTCAGGCTATGATCAAGAATGGACTACCCTCTCAGCAGTGCCGACATCAAAGGAAGATTGAATGGTGTTGAAGGGTTCGTGGGCTGCACGAGTTACGACCTCTTGCCACCCTTGAACAATGGAGACTTTTGTATCGTCAACACCGACAACGTTCTACCGGTGTACGATGCACCGGAAGGTGGACATCATTGGTTGACCGTGTGTCGCGAGCAAAACGTGATCCTGGTTTTTGACAGTTTCGGACGCAGTCTATACACTATGGAGCAAGATTACACTGAACCTGCACTGTGCGATTTCTTTAAAGAAGCCTATGCAGACTGTAAGATCATCACCAACACCCAAGCCGTTCAAGACAGAAGCACAGCAGTATGTGGATGGTATGCCATATTGATGGGAAAGCTATTTTCCAAATATGGTCTGGATGAAGCACTTCGAACTTTCCGAAGAGTCTTCGATGAGGATGAAAAGCTGGAAAACGATCAACTGGTTCTCAGTTTAGGTGTCTTGCGAGGTGGTGGAGCCTTGTGGGATACGAAAGTGCAAAAAGCACTTCATGATGGAAGACAGAAGAAGAAGTCGCAGTCCACACCATTCCACACGCAACTGGCTAACGAATTGCACAAACCCAGACGAGTGCATTTCAAAAGACGCAAGGTGAAGAGCAGGTCTGTGGATCACATCTGGAGTGCCGATCTAGTGGATATGCAACGGTTTGCCCGAAGCAACAAGAACTACAAATTCCTGCTGACCGTCATCGATCTGTACAGTCGCTATGCCTGGGCAGTACCCCTGAAAACCAAAACTGGCTCTGCTGTCAGGGATGCATTCGACCTGATCCTGAAAACATCGAACAGGGTACCACAAAAACTATGGGTAGACGAAGGCAAGGAGTTCTACAATGCAACAATGAAGCAATGGGTCAAGGATCACAACATCATCATGTACAGCACCCACAACGAAGGAAAAGCCGTGGTGGTGGAACGCTTCAATAGAACACTGAAAGGCAGAATGTGGCGCCATTTCACGGAGAAAGCTACGACACAGTATCTTGACGTCCTTCCTCAGCTTATGGTCAAGTACAACAGCTCGAAACATCGCAGTATCGGCATGAGTCCCACGAAAGCTTCTCTTGATGGAAAACCAAAAGATGCAGACGCACACTCGAAGCAATCACCAGCAAAATTCAAAGTGGGTGATGATGTGCGTTTGGCTGTAGCTAAACGTCATTTCGAGAAAGGGTACACGCCCAACTGGACAGAGGAAGTGTTCGTGGTAAACGATGTCCTACCCACTGTACCCCACACCTATCGTGTTCAAGACCTGATGGGAGAAGTCATTCAAGGACAGTTCTATGGAGCTGAGCTACAACATGCCAGACACACAGGATTGAGATTCGATAAGGTGTTGAAATACAACAAGAACAGTCGGCTCGTCAAATGGAAGGGTTATCAAGACGAAAAATTCCATACCTGGTTAACAAAGAAGGATGTGAATGATCTCAAAAAGTATTAGCATTTCATATGTACAATGTAGCTCATGCTTTGGATTAACGTGAATATTATGAATCGCATAGTATTTACAATGTATTTCATGAGAAGATATGACATATGCTCTAGTATGTGTGGAAATCCCTCAGTGCTTTGGAATATCCTTGTGTCCGAATGCCAGGGTGTTGATACCATCCTCCAGAATGTAACGCTTACTGTCGAATCCACTGAGGGCAATCTTGCGTAGCTCCTCTCCGTGAATGCAATGTCGTCGACTTCGAAGAACATTCATTGTTCTCTTCAGCTGAGACTCCTCGACGAGACATGTTCGATAATCATCGACGGTTATGGTGTTTTTCAACACGCTTCTCTGCACACCTTTGGCACGCTTGCCATTGTCGTCGTTGTCTTCACAGCGGTATGCGTACATCTTGCTCCGCAAACCAATGAACTCCTTGATGGGTTTGCCACCTAGTTCGTCCTTGAACTTCCCTACCACCTTCTTGTTGACCGTGCTGTACAGGTGGTGGGATGGTGAATAGTTGGATGTGTCATAGGCTGTTATGTTGTTTGACATATCGGTGTACAGATCATCCGTTTGAATATGTACGATCAGACTATCAGTATCAGTGTAGAGCAAACGTACATTTTGTCCATAGCGGGGTAGGAGAACTTCATAGTAAAAGGAATACATCAAGTGCTTCGACAGATCGAGGATGGCTGTACCCACATAAATGGGTTTATTGAGAGTCACCTTTGTCCTGGCAAACTCGATTGCTATCAGATCGTTCTCAAAGGCTACACTGCGGATGTACGAAGGTTTGTTGATGCTTTTCTGGAGACGTGGTTTTTCATCCTGTTCACGAATGAGCTTGATGTTTACTCTGTTTCGAACGTTTTCCATGGTCTTGCCATATACAGCATTGTTCATCAACTACGATAAACAGGCATACAAAGAAAAGACAAGAAAAACAACAATAAGAAAACTGTTATCTTCAGGTCATTCACACTTCCAGTACATACTAGATCCCACACTATCGCTAAATACACACACACACACACACATGATGTGGAGTACCCACCTTATAGAAGTCTTTCTCGAAATCAGAAGTTGATAGCTTTCTCAGGTCAGTATTAGTGTCGATGTATGGCTTCATCCATGGATGTTGTGTGAAGGAGAGCACACGATGCACATCTGTAATCTCCACACCCAAGGACACATACTGCTGCAAGTTTCTGTAGTGCAGAACATAGTGCTCTTTCGGTAGTAGATTTGACACCAGTTTCTTCGCTTCCAAACCGCTCACCTACAAGAGTACAGTATAGATATACACAAACCTTAGAAGATTAATACAAGCATATCCACCAGATAGACCATGACTTACCATTAGTTTCTCTGCCATGTGGGTCTGATATGGAGAAAGCATATCTCGTGTCACCTTCATCTGCTCAGGAGCCAACGGATAGTCATTCATCATGTCATGCACACCATCTGGAATCCTTAAATCGCACTCCACCATGTATCCCGTCGAAGAGTTCATTGGATGATCGAGTACCGTCTCCAGAAGATCATCCGTCACTGCTTCAAAGCAGAAGTCCGACACGGGCAAGGGTTGAGACATGGCCCATCCATATAGATTGTTCGCATCTAAATATTGGATGAAGCTTGACGGCTCGTCTGGATTGTATTCCGATAGATATCTGTTGTTGGCGGTGGCGTGTCTAGCGGACACCATGCTTATGCCACCTCTTTTGCCATGCTCAATGAAGTTGAACATGTCAATGTCGGAAATGAGATGAAGGGACACCTTCGTCATTTTCAGCAGCGAATCCCAGGCAAATCCCGGTAAGGTGAGGTAATTAGCGGGATCCAATCCATAGGTTGCGTGAGCAGTTCTTCTGAAGTTTTCGAAAACGTCAGCCAACAGCAGCACATCAGTCTCCAGGTAGAGGTCGTGATAGTCTCCTAGATCTTCACAGTCAAACGCAGTCCATACTGTTTGTGCATAGGCATAGTCTTCATCACTGATACCCTAGGGAATAGAAAATGTACACCAAAAAGAAAAACAAATCAACGAACTTATTTTAGTAGTTCGCCCACACAATCAATTATTTAGTATGAAGCTGCAGGAAGCGTTCAAACACATTTTGGCTTATTTTAGTACTTCGAAGTAAGATGGTGAAAAAAGAAAGAGAGAAAGATCTACTATATCTATCACACTACTCACCGTGTTCGTTAGCGTTGAGTGGAATGCATCCTTGGGTGGTAGACGCGTTTCTTCGAATTGGTCGTACGACCCCATATATTCATACGGGTAGACACCCTTTCGTGTCAACAGTTTGCGCTCATCCTCGTCTGGAAATCGTGCGGATAGAAGGGCGAATGCATCTGGTGGTGTGGCCGAAACCAACCGGTCTAGGGAGGTGTTCAAGAATGCCAGGCTGTCGATGAACTGGAACTGTCTCCATCCGAATGTGACATATTTTTCACTGTTGATGGGAATCACTTTGATAGCACCGAGACGCTTGGTCTGAGAAGAAAGAAAAAGAGGAGACACAGTTTTAAGGTGCATCTGTAAAGATGAATATCAATCATATAAACATGAATATGAGTACCAACATAGTAATGATCTTCCTTCTTAGAAAAACATCATGATCCACGCACACACACACCACGCATATGTAACGTACCCGTTCTTGTCCTTTCTCGTTCACATACGTAATCTCATCAATGGACGTTCTCCCAATGGCAGATATGATGTGATGAGAATCGTATCCCTTCAAGTTATGAAAGATCACAGGAATCTTGATCTTGAACGGCTCAATCCGCATGTTCAGGTTACAATGGTTGTGTGCTGCACCACGGTAAGCACCGGTGATGTGACAGTGGTCACGTACACGATCGCTACCCAACGCTTCACCACAGATCCAACAGGAGACTACCGTTTCAAATTCACGTTGCTGACTTTCTGAAATGATCATTTGACCAGCATTACATGCTAGAAGCTCATCACGGATAGTCTCCTCCTCTTGCTCAAGTGACAGCAGAAAACAGAACATAGAATCTTCTCCACGGTAGAAGAAACGGTTCGTGACGACGCCATCAGATCGTACTACAATGTACGAACAGGAACAGGCTACATGCTTGTTCTTTTGGAATGTCGAATGACCGATTTTCTTGTCAGCGGATAGAGGTTCTATGAAGGCCTCACAATCGGCATAGATCACCTGCATTTGAGAGAGAGAGAGAGAGAGAGAAGTAGGAATAGCAGCAGGGACAACATCGAGTAAAACAGCGGAAAAGACAGATAGAGAATTAGGAATAGCTGCAGAGACAACACCGAGTAAAACAGCAGAAAGGTGAACAATCAGAGTCAAGAAACATGTGCAGGAAAGAAAAGAAATGTGTTCACCTTGATTAAATGTTCTACTTACAAATGGGGCTTGAAGCTGCTTGTTCACATTCCTGAACATCACTCTATCGTCAGCCTTTGGCATCTTCACCGTGGCTTCAGGATGTTCACTGCAGTACATCATATGATTATTCAATGCCTTCTCCGTGACGTGTGTTGAGAGACATCTGAAGCAGACGAAATGTGCTCGACGTGCTCCAGTAGCAACAAGACGACTGAATGATTTTATCCACACCCAGTGCTGCACCTCCACGTCATTGCGTTCGTCTTGGATGAGCAATACATTGATGGCGGACTGCGGATGCTGAGAAATTCTTAACGGATATATGACTTTCTCTTCATATCCGAAGACGTTGATGTAAAGACCGTCGTTCAGTCTTTCGATGACTGGTATGTCTTCCAGTTTTGCTGGAAACTCGATGCCGCTCACATCCACAGTATCCGCATGTTCTGCGTACGACGATTGACGACATGGATGAGACTTGTCTGCCGAAAATTTAGCAGCCAGTATTGACCATCTAAAGTACGGATGACATAAGACATGGACAGGCGTCATACAGTTCAATCCATACACCGTATCACCACACTGAAACCCCACTGCTATACTTACAGTAAACACTTGTTGTCAGTGTTCTGCACGTTAACAATGGCCTTCTTCGACTTCAACTCCGGTGGCAAGGGGATGTACGAACTTCCTCCAAGTACACAGTAGCGTGACATTTCGATGTGTAAACAGGAAATCCGTTCAACTACCCAACCTGATCCATGACGAACGAAATCATCAAGACGAGCGTTGATCTGAGCAATCATCCTACTGAGAAGGTCCCTCAGCTCCATGGTGTTGAGCACCAGCGTTGTACTCGATCGGAAGAAGAATGTGTTGGAAACCATTTGTCCTGTAGCAGGATTCAGCTTCTGCATCACCACCTGAACTATCAAAGAACACTTGTACTGACCCCATTGCTCAATATTCTCTTCAAGAAGCAGCTCCAGCGACGGTAGAACATGAGAGAAAAACTTTAGTACATCTGCAAACTCTTGATCAGGACAATAACTAAAGAATTGCAACAGATCAGATGATCTCACTACATCAAAAGACTGACGAGGTTTCTTCCGAATGGGTTCCATCCTGAGCAGGGGTGGTGGCGGACAACCACACAATGGCTTGACAAGGTACCGAGGATCTATTTTTATAGGGTTTTCGTAATAGTTGAATTCGGAATAACTGGTTGTTTTTCAATTAACCAATCCACTCATCTCCCGCTGGAAACAATTAACCACTTACCGCACTTCCCGCTGAAAACATGTGACCAATTAGCGCACTTCCCGCTGAAATCACATTCATCCTTTTATCGCGCATTGACCCATGTTCCACACTTCACAGTGAAATCAGTGCTGCAATGATGTACTGTGACGTCAATGCATGGATGCATGATCTGTGCATCTGAGGTCAAGATGAATCCGGTATTCCAGCAGCTAAAAGTTCGAGAAAGAATTGTTGTATGTCGAAAAGAATTATACGAGAGGAAAGCTAGAAAAATTCTACACCTCATGGACCTTTCGATTACGGACATAGATGGAAAACTAATTGACTTATGTCAATGGAAAGATTCCAAGCCCGAACCAAAAAAGACACGACATGTCGCGAGCAACGTTTTGGTTTTTGGCGCGCACCGTGTTCACCGTGTTCTCCAAGGTCGTCACCTTCCCGGAGGCGGGACCCAGCGGGACGGGACTTGGCGGGACCTATAAAACCTGATATAATTTCATTTTTGGTTCACAATTCATTTTTGAGTCCATTGGATGATCGAGTACCGTCTCCAGAATTTCTCTCTCTACCAGATCAAAGATGTCGGCCTGGTCAACATCCGAACCGTATGTAGAGAAGTTTTATTTATTTTCTTGTAGTAATAAAGATGAGTTAACCGTTCGGTTACTCACCGATCTTGGTACAGCTTACGAGCTAAGACCCATGCTTCTTCACCCGGATCGGACGGACTTGACTCCCATGGAGATTGCACAGTATCTGTGCAGGGTGTCGACGCGCGTTCTCGTGAGCGGTGAGAAACACCAGCGTCTACCGAAGATCGTTGTTGATGGTGTAGAAGATTATGGATCATCATCATGGAGAGATACGGGCAGACTGCTCCGCTGCTGGGACGACGGACGAAGATCGATGTACAACGTGATGAAGGTTGCAGGTGTTCTGGATATTGTCGAAGAGACGTTTGCAAATGGAGAGCAGATTGAAGTTCAGGAACTCATCCGTGTCATCAAGGATCTCAACGATCGCAAGGTCTTTCGAAAAGACGGGGATTCACAAGCGACAACGAAATCTGTCCGCCTCTCAGTGATGTCGACGAGGATAACCCGTGTTGTTGCGCGTGTCGGCACGATCGACATCGACGATGAAGGATATCCTAAGAAGATGCCGGAAGTCTCGTGTGATTATGTTGTAAGCCGGAAGCGTAAGGCCGATGATGACCTGGATGAAGCAATTGTGACGATTCAGGCTTCGAATACAGCTCCAATCATCGAAGTTTCCAGGAAGCGCTCCTGGGTAGTACCTTCTCAAGATATCTTTGATTGCTAGACTCTCTCTCTCTCTCTCTCTCTCTCTCTCTCTCTCTCTCTTCCTACCAGGCGTGAGCCATCCCCTGGGTGAACAAAATGGGTGCTATCTTCTCTCTCTCTCTCTCTCTCTCTCTCTCTCTCTCTCTCTCTCTCTCTCTCTCTCTCTCTCTCTCTCTTCCTACCAGGCGTGAGCCATCCCCTGGGTGAACAAAATGGGTGCTATCTTCTCTCTCTCTCTCTCTCTCTCTCTCTCTCTCTCTCTTCCTACCAGAAAAAAAATGATCCGAAAAATTGAAATTACAAGTCAAAATACTGCAAAACTATGAGTTCTGATTAATATAAAATTGGAAAAAGTGAGATAACATTGACATTTGAAATAGTAATATTTTAGACATCGGAATGCAATATTATGATGTAGGGTAGGACATATTACCCACACCCTAAAAATCAAAATTAATGATACATGTAGAATTCCAAATCATGACACCATATTACCTTATTGTTTAGGGTAGAGCATAACACCCCAATACATATTTTCAATAATACCCCCTTTTTTTTGAGGTAGGGGCACCCCCTGGCACATATTTTTATCCGCAAAAAAACCGGGCCAAAAATAATTTTCACCGCAAAAATGGGGTACTATTAGTACCCCATTTTTCAATAATACCCCATTTTTTGGGACCCGGGCGCCCCCTGGCCCAGAACCCGCTCGTACATTGCTACTGCTATTCGGAGTACGCAAGAAACTAGGCAAACCTGCAAGAAAGCGCCGGATGCCATTGATCTTTACCCAAACCGTTTCAGTAATTTCAGCAGTATTGTGTTAATTTGTTTGGTAAGGGTAGGGTTAGGGAAAGTATACCGAAGACAAAGCTGCGAAATGTGTTTGCATCTTGGCTTTGCCACTATACTATGCCTGGATCACTACTATCAGTGTATGTACATGTGCATACATGTACATGTACATGTATGTACATATAATATAACCCAATACTAGTTCAGAACTAGTATTAGATCAACCTTGTTATAGTTCACGCATATTGTTAGATTGACAGCATGAAACAAGATGAAGGACACTGTGTTCGGAAACAGTGACCTTACTACAACCTTCCGCGGTTGGCAGAGCCCCGGTCCCTGTGGACCATTTGAACCACATGGGTGTCGCACCCGGTTCTGACCTTCATTATGCTAGGGTGGTAGGAGACTACTCCTGACGTCCGTCGTGTATTCTTTGATCGCTCCTGGATGTCGTCCTGGTAGTCATGGAGCTACTTAAACCTCAACTTCTTTTCTTCCAACTTCTGCCCATGGCGTCCTTCTCTCAGCTCGTCAGCTGTCAACAGTTACTGCCACGACCATGACACTGTAGCGAGAAGGTGCTCTCTATAGACGGGATTGGTGATGTCCCGGCGCCATGGGTAGGCCTTCACCACGTCGGAACACCCCGGCTACACGTTGGTTACCTCCACTCGTTAACTTTTTTGTTGTTGATGTTGTCACGTAAACTAGTACTGGTCAAGAAAACTTGAATTTCATCTACAAACCTGAGCAACTGCTTCAATTCTGCTACACGTTGGTTACCTTCATCAGTACCGCTTGGAAATAACTCGTATGTTGTTGATGTTGTCACGTAAACTTGTACTGTCAAAAAAAACTTGAATTATTTCATCTGCAAACCTAAACAACCACTTGATACGAGTTGACACCGGAGGTAAGATGTACAACTCAAGCTCGTCTTTTCTTTAAATTTGTGAGGGTATGCACATAACTAACAAAACTGCATGATCAAATTGAGGCACTTGTAGTTGTTTAGGTTTGCAGATGAAATGCAAGTGTGTGTGAATGCAAATCTACTGGAATAGTGTAAGTGCGGTGACATTTTCTTTTTATTTACAAAGGTTTGGATCACGAATGCGAATGTAGACTGCTTCTAGAACTTTCAACTGCTTGAAACTACTTGCAGAACGAACAACACTGAACCAAGAATCATCATAACTTTCACGACACACGTTCTGGAATACATTATTCGTCCCCATGGTTGTGATATGAGCGCGCATTTAGTTATATTCATTGCATTAATAATAGGGACCGGCGGATTCTGCTCGAAAAGATGGCAGATTCTGCTCGAAAAGCAGTGAAATTGGCAGAACCATACAAACCTTATGGCGGGCAATTCCTCCAATTTTGCTCCATTTCTTTATCCACATACCAAACATGCATGAAACTTACCAGAAAAAGTACCGAATTCTGCCAATTTTTCTGCCGGCAGAATCCGCCGGACCCTAATTAATAATAATAATCTTTATTTCAGGATTACGCAAAGGCTGACGCCTAGCCTATCGGCCATATCGGGGGGATCTCCTATTAGTGTATATACAATGAACATTGGAGTTGGGAAAAGAGAAAGTGGGCAAAATGAGTTCGGAAAAAGAGAGATGCTGTACAAAAGATACATGTACAATGAAAGAACAAGCAAAGATTTAAGTAAATCAATGATTGCACATCAAAGGGATATTGTAGTGCACTATTCAAGAGAGGGCTCTTTTCTAATCGCGTGGTAGAGTCTACAACTAGACTGTACTGGTGTACAATCATGTAAATCAGTAGTTTAGATCTACATGTACATGTACATGCATGTACAGTATGTAGTCATGATGGTTCAAAGTTCAGTGCCAAAGTACAAAGTACTGCCATTCAGGAACCGTACACATAGCCTCCTATTCGGGATAACAGGAGAAAACATTTTCTCCAAAGTCATCTACGTAGCTAGATCTACATTCTTACACAGATATAGATAGGCTTGGCAGTTGCAATAATGCTTGCTGGGTCTTTCAGCCTACAAGGCTGTTGTTTTTCTGGGCAATGCAACAGACTGTTGTCGTGTTCGATCATTGACCTCTGCTTCCACTGCTCCACGGTAAAGTGACAGTGAAGACTTGCCAGTCATTGCAATCATGGAACAAGCACCTCCACCATACACTAGGCTAGTGCAGGAGGAAGGTGCCGGGCCCGAGGTCGACGAGGAGGAAAGCAGCGTCAGAGTTTGGGCAGTGACCGAGCATAATAATTATAGTACATGTACATGTAGTGTGGTGCACAGCCAGCCGATGTACCCCTCAGTATATGCAGTAGCCGTCGAGCGACGCGTGCTCGTGCATGCAGTGGGTCCAGATACCAGGTTCGGACTGGAGCCCGCGGTGGTGAAGTGCCACCACTGTGGCAAGACTACCCTCACTAACACAAGCAGTCAGATTGCACCGGTTGCCTGGTTGTTTGCCTTCTTCCTGTGCCTTTTCGGGTAAGTGCATCAGCAACATGTCTGGGTCACTGGTGATAAAAGCCAAGCTAGGGATACCCTGCGTGAAGAGCAAGTACCAATAAGCTACGACTAACACTGGTAACAGTACACCAAGGCAACGAGATAATTATTATAATTATACAGTCAGATGGTGCGACAGCAACGGCACACAACTGACAGGGATAATGAGACATTCAACGACCTGACACCTACAAGGAGCCCCAACACATCTACGAAGTGCAAACCAACAACCTTCCAACTTGGAAAGCTCAGGTACGAAAAATTCCAAAGAGGGAAAGGGAGATAAACTTATAGGTGTTGGATGTAGGTGTCAGGTCGTTGAATATCTCAATATCCTTGTCGGTTTTGTGCCTTGTCGCCCTATCTGACTGTCTAATTTCTTGTTACCTTGGTGGTCTGTTACAAGAATCCATAAACAAGAGTATGCAACTATGATCTCTTTCTAGGGGCCAGATGCGCAGTGCGCTGCATTCAATACATCATTCAGCCACAGTCCTCCCACACCAGAAAATCAAACACCGCACTTTCCCTCTGGTTTACGATGAACTTTTGTACGGAACTGGAGTTCACGTGCCAACATTTAGAAATTGCGTAGGTACTGGAACGAATCAAGCCAAAACGGATGTGCTTTGTATGAGAAATTGATTCAAATAATTGTAGGTTTGAGTGCATGCTTTCAGAGCGTGATGGAGGCAAGTTACGTAATGAAGGCAGTGCACCGCGCACTGATGAATAACCACAGATGCATGCTCTTGTTTATGCACTTTTGCTGTTAGTCATAGCACGTAACTACATGAGCTACATGGCGGTCTCTAATGGGATGGTATCAGAAATAACTATGGAATACAATCAAGAGGGGATGAAAGTTGTTTCGAACTTGTGCGTCACAATACAGCACGGGGAGGTCAACAATGGCTCAAAGGAATGGAAATAGTACATGATACCAATCATGGAGTTGTTCCATCAGATACATTCTGGGAGGAAGGGGGGGGGGGGGGCATAATTGATCTATCAAGCAAAGAGTCCTTGCGGATGTACTGCATAACACGTCATTTCTGGCGTATCTTAAATTTATTCCAGTACAGTAGAGTCGTGCGCCCAAGAACGTCGTTTCCAAGGGGTTAGCCTGGGACATTCTTATTTTGTCAGCAATCTGGCTGCGTTCCTATAGCACGTTCTTAGAAACAATCCGTCCTGGATCATGTGTATCTCCTAAGTTGCCAGAAAACCAACACCGCCGTTCTTAGCTTTAGGCTGTGGCGTTCTTAGAATTTCAGGCTGGACATTCTTGGGCTCCACGTTCTTCGGCGCGCGACTCTACTGGAGCTCTGCAAAAGACGTTCAGGCCCGCATGTGTGTATGTGCGTGAGTGCGTGTGTGTGCGCATTTGTGTGTGTGTGTGTGTGTGTGTGTGTGCACATGTGTGTGTGTGTGTGTGTGTGTGTGTGCGCGTGCACGCATGTGTGTGTGTGTGTGTGTGTGTGTGTGTGTGTGTGTGCGTGCATGTGTGTGCGTGTGTGTGCGCATATGTGTGCGTGTGTGTGCGCATGTGTGTGTTTTGACATATGCATATACATGTACATGCATGTACGGCATGTCTGTGTTTTCGCTTTCTCACCCAGGTTTGTTCTATGCTGCTGGATTCCCTTCGTCGTTCCTGCACTGCGCAATGTAGACCATCACTGTGCAAACTGCAATGTGGTTGTCGGACACTGTGGCACCACATTAACAGGGGTCTGATCACGCTTCTTGGACATGTTGTCCTTCAGCTACAACATGTGCTTGATGGGGTCGCGTGACGTACATGTAATTTGTTCCTCTTGGCATACATGTATGTGCTGCAATAGCAGGGTACGTAAACATTGAAGAACTGTCCAGACCAATTTTGTTGCAGCTTGACTAATTCCGTTGACCAACTGAGTGACCCTCTGCATGGGTGTGAGCATATCAATAAATTAGCCCCTTTTCTTGTCTCTTTTTTCGATGTTTTTTTACACGCTCTTCGTTTCAATTTGATTAGACTTTTCTATTGCACGTTGTGTGTCCCTGCTTTGTGTATTGTATTGTGAGGTGCTCTGTGACCATGGCCTTGGATCTCACGGGTTGTGTACAGTCAGCATGGTGTACATGTACATGTATGTGAGATGTTTGCACATGCAGGTTCAATGGTTTGGGCAGGAGTATGCAAGAGCCACGAGCACCGTATTCTCGGCAGTATTATTGGCTGAGGTGCTTACGGTAGTACTTTACGAGCCTAAAATATTTCACCCAATTTGACAAAAAAATGCACATAGAATCCCTGAAATGATACGGCGTTTGTTTCTGACAGGCGGTAAAAGACCGGCCTCGATTTCAGAAAATACTGGGTATGCGCAATTGTGATCTCGTAACTAGCACATTCAACGTGGTGGGCAATGTAGTGAGTGGACTCTGTCTGTACCTCGTGCCTGGCCATCGCCATGAACGGTGATCTGAAGGTTATCATAATCATTGTAGCATCAGTTCATTCACTGTTTATGTACATGTAGATCATGCATCCTGGATGACGTAACTACTTTAATGTACATGTAGATCATGCATCCTGGATGACGTAACTACACGTACATGTACATGTAGCCCACCTGCCTGCTGTATCTTTTGTACAGCATCTCTCTTTTCCGAACTCATTTTGCACATTTTCTCTTTTCCCGACTCCAATGTTCATTTGTACATGTACGTACATATAGGAGATCCCCCGATAGCCGTCGGCCTTTGGGTAATCCTGAAAAAAAGATTATTATATTAATTATATTTGCTGCTAGCTGTAACGGTAACAGTCAGGTCTCTCCGAAACTCGGACGCTTAAAAGTAAGTTTAATAGGTGTCGGCAAGTGGTGGCATGGGAAGAGCGGCGACATCACTCTATCGCCGAATCGCGTTATTGAGAGCGGACAGGAGGAAGAAACAGTACTCCCACGTAATATCTTACATCAGAATGCCGTCTCTCATTTGCCCTGTTGCGATCATGCATCATGTGTTTGCGGGGTTCACGAGGTCTTTTCCGTGAGCGATCGGTTCGGCATCCGGAGTCTGCTGAGCTGGTTGTTGCCGAGGCCCAGGTTGCTCGCATGTGAGAATCTATTAATTGCAGCAGATTATTTTTACACAAGAGAGAGTTTGGAAGCTTTGTTACAACTCTGAGTTTCACGTATTACTACGATCATCAGGCAACTGATGGATCCAAAACGGGCAGCCAGAACATAAGGGGGAGCAAGGTGGGAAATTCTGAGGGTGTCATAGGCGACGCGTATCGCGCAAGAGTCAGGTGCAGTCGTGAAGCAGATTATCATTATTATTATTATATAATACTGGACATGGATATTGGATAACTGCACTCAGTGACTCTTTACATTTTACAGGGTACGTTTTATTATTGTAAAGCTTTCCTTTTGATCTTGTCTCTTATTGTTGTGACCTTTCCACAGTGTTGTGTTGCATTGTAAAAAAATTAATTACCAACCCCAGTTGGACGGGGGGGGGGGGGCACACGATAATGAGTAGTGGTCGAGCACCACCAGGCTTACTGTATCAGGTTGATGTGGCAATCACCCACTCTCCTTAACATTGGTTGGTGTTTCCACGGAGTCTTGAGATGTTGTAATAAATATAAATATAAAATGTACTAGTATGGCCTATTATTGCCCGCGTTCAAGTCAAGTGTGATGCTGCCGAGAAAGTCGACTAGTTATCTCGAATCCTAGGTTGTTGACGTGTTTGCTCATGTCCGGCAGCCATGTTGGTTCCACCTCCGGTCGATCCATGCATCAATGGACTACATGCACATCAATGGACTACACTGAAGCAAGACACGAAATGGAGATACACAGTAACATGTACAAAAAATAGCCGCATAGTAGGAATATTGCGCAACACGTCACACGTTCCTCAATATTCTTTAGTCTGCTATACCACTGAAACACAAAAATCGAAAAAGCAGCCATGTTGCGCTTTTAGCAGGGCACAGCACTGGAGCAGTGGAGATGGCTGCAGGGTCAGAACAGAGATCAGGCAGGAGCCGGTTCCATACTCCATAGGACCGTGCGCCAATGAACTGGATATTCGCTGGACCCACGGGGCCGGGCCAGAATGGAACTTGGAGAAGATGCTGTGCTGCTCCCCGACTGCGATCATGAGTAACCTAGGAAGGTGGTTAGGCATATGCGGATAATGCCGGCAGAAAACTTGGCAAAATTCGGTACTTTTTCTGGTAAGTTTCATGCATGTTTGGTACATGTATGTGGAAAAGAAATGGAGCAGAATTCGAGGAATTGCCCGCCATGAGGTTTGTATTAGCCATTGGCGGACTATGCTCGGCCAATCGTCAAATTATGCTTTTGATTATACCGCAATTATGCCAACAAATATGCTGAATTATGCTGAATTATGCTCGGTTCCACTATGTATTCACGCTGTACACAACAGAACAACAAGGACAATCAAGGCTTGTTTGCTGCTACTTCAAGTTTCATGCTCACGCAATCATCAGGCAACACTGTACATAGAGGATTGAGAAACCACGCATACACACACACGGCCATGCCCTAAGCATAATTTTTGTCTAAACCGCAAGATTATGCCGACCTTACACATTGGAATCCGTATAATATTATGCCGGAGCATAACTTTTTGACGAAATCCCAAGATTATGCCAAATATTATGCCGGCATCATCCGCCAAGGGCTATGAAAAGGAGTCGTAACTGGGGTATTTAAAAAAACAAACATCTGTAGGCTTTCTGACAAAGCTGTATTATGCCCCTAAGCATAATTGTTGTCTAAACCGAAAGATTATGCTGACTTTACACGTCGGAATCCGTATATTATACCGGAGCATAATTTTTTGACGAAATCCCAAGATTATGCCGGCATAATCCGCCAAGGGCTAGTTTGTATGGTTCTGCTAATTTCACTGCTTTTCGAGCAGAATCTGCCACCTTTTCGAGCCTTTTCCGCCAATGCCTACTGGTGGTGGCGTGGCATGTAATTTTCTAGGTAATTAAAAAATTTAGCCCAGCGTTTCGCCAGCAAATCTAATTCTGAAGATGGTTTGAGTACGATTGCACGCAAATGCAGAAACAAAGGAAAGAGGAATAAAACACTCTCAGGCGTACGCGTCTATGGATCCAGGACAAAATTAAGTGGACGCACTTAACGTGAGAAGTATCGCCAGAACTAGACTGATAGTAGTTTTAGTACAGCAGCGGAGAGGCTAACACACGCCTGGTCTTTCTTGGGAAACTAGCGACTTTGCGAACACCATCATGTCCAATGTACAGTATATTATGTACCATGCACCATGTACATGTACATGTATACACGCCCGTCGCAAGAGAACACAACCTCTAGTGGAGACAGTCCTTGCCAGAGTTTTCTTTCTCCGAGCTTTGTGTTCTGTTCTGCAATCGTAGCCGGTCTAGGAGCTAGTGAAGCAGCTTGATCAGCGCTGGGAATACGAAGAGCTAGACTATCATGTCTTATCAAGGCCAAGGGTATTCACGGGTTCCGCCAGTGGCTGAGCCTGTTCGTGCGTATCCGGTCCCCGTAGAGCCTGTCGTGCCGGCGGCCACTGCAGTCTGCATTGGAGGAGGCGGCGTGGTAGTTCAACAGCCCGGAGTAGCAGCGACGACCACGGTCATAGCTACCGGCTGTTTTAGGACATTCGGACCGTATCCAACCATGGCTTCGTGTGACAACTGTGGCCATACTGGCATGACGGTAACAGAGAGCTCTCCCGGCACTTCCGCTTGGGTGCTTGCATTCGTCTGTTGTATGCTTGGGTACGTTTTTGTTGTTGTTTTTGTTTTGGTACGTAGATCTACGTTATGACTCATGTCATGCATTGCTTGAAGACCTAAACAAACGTCGACCAACGACTTACAGAGAGGCCTACATGTACATGTATACAGTATGCATGTCTACCCTCGTTAGTACGACATCTGTACAGGTCTACCCTCGATCGTTAGTACGACATTGGTTACAAGACAAACCTCATTAGTAAACTAGGATTCAAAATTCCCCTGAGACAAAAATGTTTGAAACCCCCAGCGTTGTCTACTAACGAGGGTAAACCTGGACAATGCACATGACGTGTTTGACAAGGGGCATACCTCGAGCAGGATTGCATCGATTGGGTGACGTATACAATAGAATAGAGCAGGCTGTGAGCACCATACTGAGCGTAAGAAATTGACTGCAGACTTGCAGGCAATGCCAAAATTAATGAATACATTCACAACATCTCGACAGGAAGCGCGAGCTCTAGCCTTCGCAGTAGCCTACTACTAAAACAGTGTGTTTTTTGGATCGCTTATTAGGAAAAGATGGAGAGCACACCTGCTCTTTCCTGAGCACGCTGCAGTTATCGAACTCGGTACTGTCAATTTTTACATCTAAGCAAAATTGCCCTCATCAAGTTTGTAAACTCAGTTCACAATACTGTACACGTAGTTATAAGCTTACATGTACATGTATGTAACTTAAGTGCTATGGTGCGCTCGTGTGTTTGCGTGTGCGCACGCGCGCATGTGTGTGTGTGCGTGTGTGTGTGCGTGTGCGTGTGGGTGTGCATGGATGTGAACTGTGCACATACATGTATACATGTATGTGCGTGTATGTTGGGCGTGCAGACTGTGGCTGTGTTGCTGGATCCCATTCGTCTCGCCATCCTATCAGGATCACCTGCATATGTGCTCCAGGTGCCAGGCTCCTCTTGGTCACTACTACGCTAGATAGTCTGCATTGTGGCTTCGCGTGTGGACATGGCCCACGCTTGGCGTTCGCCACGGAAAACATGGCTGACCACGACTACTTTCGTGTCAAGCAGCCAAGGGAGCGACGCACCGAATAGCGTGTAGAGCATTTGTCACCCTGCTGCTCACCTCACTTGTAATCTCCTGCCTTTGTTTTTGCCAATATGATCGATTCAAAAGGACAATGTAAATGTACAATGCACATGCACAATCAGAATGATCGTCTTCTACACATGTACAAAATTATACATTGTACATGGCACGTTGGCTACTGAATACACTGTATTCCATTTGCAGCGCACCGCTTGTGTACACATTACCACGATATCGCCTCCACGGCTGCAGCTTTGCCCCACTCCTTCGAGTGATGGATTTGAGGAAGATTATCCTTCCCAATACGAATCAGAACCAGCCTACCCTCTCATCCGTGCATCATCCGTGCAGCATTCTTATTCTGAATCTCGTTTCTACAATCTCCACTATTGCATACGCCTTTTCCATACACATTTGCTCCAGAATTCAGACCAATACGTATCACCATCCATTTCAAGTACATACAGTGGTCCCTCTATAATCCGGCACCATTTGTGCCACGAAAATCTGCTGGATTAGGGAGGGTGCTGGATTAACAAATCTGATTTACTGCTGCAATGTGCATGAAGAGGACATTTTGGCTACTGAAAATTGTGCTGGTTTATCGAGGGTGCTGGATTATAAAGTGCCGGATTAGAGAGGGACGACTGTATACATGTAGGGTACGTAATGTGGTGTCTTCAAGTAGAGAGCCCAACTACAATGTGCATGTACCATGCTGTACTGAAGCAGGCAGCACGCGATTAATCTTGCAGCGACTATTATGCTAGGTTAGTACTAAGTAGCATTTCTTATCATTATCACTCGCCCTATTCAGGATCCTGGCGGAACTATGAAAACGTACTCTTCGAAAGGGAAGTAATTCACCTCATCTGAGCTTCCAATGCGCAATATGTTAGTTACAGGTATGTACATTAACATTATATAACCTAACACTGGTTCAAAACCAGTATGAGATTAACCTTGTTATAGTTCATACATATTGTTAGATTGACAGCATGAAACAAGGTGGAGGACACTGTGTTCGGAAACAGTGACCTTACTACAATTTTCCGCGGTTGGCAGAGCTCCGGCCCCTGCGGACCATTTGAGCCATATGGGTGTTGAACCTGGTTCTGACCCTCATTATGCTAGGGGGGGGTTGGAGACTACTCCTTACGTCCGTCGTGTATTCTTTGATCGCTCCTTGATGTCGTCCTGGTAGTCATGTATCTACATAAACCTCAACTTGTATATAAACTTCTTTTCTTCCAACTTACATGTACATGTACATGTACTTGCTCTTGATGGTAGTAGCTTTAGCAATAATGAGCCCAGCAATACTGAGAACAATAATACCCAATCAAATGCATTGGTCAGACTGTTTACAGGCATCCACAAGCGGATGACATGAATTGAAGGGGCTATAAATGGCGATCATCAGCCAAAAAGGATCTAGGAACCATGCTGAACCGCCGCCATTGAACTGGATGGCCAACATGTTTAAAAGCATGTCACATCATTGTGCATCCTGCTGCGCAGCCACTGGTGACTGACTCCAAGACTCCAAGTTGAGCTGGGCTCTTTCCAAGAAGGAAATAATAATAATTATTATTGATTCATCATGCATACAATCATTGAACAATTTTGAAGTAACAATGTATCTGCGTGCTGCTGCAGGAAATGTACAATGTCATGTACATGTACAATCTGTCAAGATCATACACTGATACAGTAGTGTCCTGTACATGTACAAGATACACTTGACCAAAAAGGCTCCAACCGCACTAGGTAAAAAATGCACGCATGTAAAAGGTGAAAATATTGTACATGTACATAATTACAGTTACTGAGTAAGCAGCCGGTCAGAGGGCCAGAGGCCCAGGCTAGAGCACTAAACTGCAGTGTCAGTGAGACTGAGAGCAGGAGAAGATCTGGTTACTGTTCAAAACCGGTCCAGCTCTAAGTCCAGGTTTATACCAGGAACAAACGGCCAAAACTCAAATATTAATTCAAAAGCGGAAAGGGGTCGACTTCACAGCTGTTCAGAGTAGACAGGACTAGACTGTACCATGTGTACAGTGTAGACTACTGCATACTGCTACATGTACTGTCAGTACAGTACTGGCTGCACACGATCATGACATGGATGCCATGGACCTTTGGGCTTTGGTAGATCTACACGCTCTTGGGACTTGTGCCAACAGTTACATGACACTTGAACTATTGTTACTTTGAAGCTGGCACAGCCTGGAACTTCCAACACATGAACAGAGTCAGTGTGACTGGGGTCCGAGTGGGAATCACATAAAACACTACGCAGACTCTACACTGCAGTGCAGGCTACATGATTGTAGTGCATGACTTGTACCAAGCACTCGTGCACGCGCGTTCACAGAACCCGACTTCTTCCTATTTTCAACAGTTTTGACTGGTAATGTCTAATGATTCTTGTAGTAGTGGTACGAAGTCGGATCGCGCAGGACACTGCATGAAGAAGACTGTCTTGAAACTACTAGTAGTAGCTTAGTTCTCTGAAGCGAAGGTTGTAAAATGGACCAACCTCCGAAGTACGAAGAGGCCAATGCCGCTCCATACCCGCCTGGACAGCCAACAAACCCAGCTTACCCACCCGCCCAGCCAGCCTCCTCAGCTCCTTATCCCGCTCATCCTGCTGCTCCAGCTCAGGCTGCCGCTTATCCGCCAGCACCACAGCAAGGAGTACCCGCGGCGCCTTACCCAGTGCAGGAACAACCAGCACCTTACCCAACGCAACCGCCTCCGGTGGCCGCTGCTGGTGCTGCTTATTCGACAGGCCCGCCTCCAGCTGAAACGAAGCAGCCAGTTGACGCTGCTCCTCCTGTGGCAGGTGTGGTTGTCCAGCAGCCCGCTCCAGCCACTACAACGGTTGTAATCACCCAGACCAACGTATTGTTGGGACCGGAATCAACTACGGTGAATTGTCCGAATTGTGGCAAAACAGGACCAACCGTGACGAGTTGCGTCCCGAGCGTCAAGGCCTGGCTTTTCTGTTTTGTCCTTTGGATAGTCGGGTAAGGCTCTCTAAGCTAAGGGTTTAGCTAGGTGGCATTGGCACTCAAACATGATAATTATTTAATAATAATAATATTCGCGGGATCCGCGTCGGCATCGCTTGAATGTTCGTTGGCGAATGCAGACCTCACAAGTGAGTCAGGGGAGAGGAGGTTAGTCTCTCAACCAATGGCAATCGGGCGTGTAACGGCCCATAACCCTGTAAACTGCATCCTTGTTATTCTCACTCCAAGCTGTGAGTGCTGAGTACCCAGTTGACCGTGGGTGTCGGCGCAGTTCAACACGCGTAAAATGTCTTTTTACACGCTCCCTGCTACCAGCGCGGGTCTTGAACTCGGGACCTCATGATTCGCAGGCAGGCCTGCAAACCAATCGGCCATATGCGTTGATAATTATTTGCGTGGTATTAAAATTGTGTGTTGTAAAAATTTCCAGTAAATAGTTGTATAGTCCCATATCGTACTACAAGGAGTAGATAAACAAGAGTGTGCAACTCGAGATGGTGTGGCCCAATGCGGATTTTTATGTTGACGTCATCGTTTCTGGAAGTCATGAGTCATACCGTACAATGCACTCGCTGCGAATCTTTTGGGAAGTTTTGCCTCGTGCACTTGGCCGGGCTTTACATTACAAGGTCGGTGCCCAGCACATGGTCTCAGACTGCTCTGCGGCAAAATGCGCGTGCTCTGTACGACGCACGTCATGTTTTCTGAAAAAGGCGACGTAAACAAAAAAACTCCGCCATGGGCCGGGGTATCTGCAGATAGTGCAGAAGAGATGCAGACTCGCGGCGGACTAGCCCGACATTATTTTGTAAGGTACCCTGTGTTGACCAGGTGGGGTACATTTGTGTGTGACCTGTGATGGTGGTCCTGTAACAAAGCTGCAGTGGGCATGCTTCCATACCGATGAAGGTCATCATTTTTGCTACCATGTATTTTAAAATCAGAGAGCAGTCTACGGTCCTCCAGTGTGGTAGAGTGCTCAATGCTCGCAGGAGCAGAGCCATATCGCACAAGTCACATGGGAGCATTAGTCTATTTACTAGTAACTAGGGCTGAAACGATCATGAATTTTCACCTATCGATTACTCTTTAGCTTAACGATCGATTCATCGATTATAATAGGTAGAAAATAGTGTCAGAATTTTGTGCAAAAATTACTCTGTTTCCAAAAGTATCTGACGTGGCGCTGTTTGGAAGGCCGCTGTAGTGTCACATTAAGTCAAATGTTCGAGCGTTTAAATAATGGTCTTGCACCACGCAGCCTTGTATCACACACTCTTAAGATGCCCATGCTCAGAACTGCCTTTGCCCGTCATGGCGCTTACTTCCAATGTGCTAAGCTGTGGAATGATTTGCACCCTCTAGCTCGCTGTGTGGATAACTCTGCCCGTTTTAAGAAACTGTTACCCCAATGCCTTGCTTTTTCACGCTAGTACTTATGACTTTCAGCTATGCAAAATGGGAACATGATCACCTATCCAATACCGGTAGTCTATTATATTAATTATTCATATCTTTTTGCATCTTTCCCTCGAGTGGGTCTATTGTTATTAGGCAATTGTCTGTTATAGTCACCACTATAAATAAAAATCCAATCCAAAATCCAATCCAAAAGCTAGGCCTTCATAATAACAAAATCTGCATTAGTGACACGGTAGCTCCGAAACATGGCAGGTTTGAAGCCAATTAACCTCAGAATATGCACCATGCCCCTGGCAACTGCATATTACAAGTGGAAACTGATTCAAACATCACAAACAGGGGCGTAGGAACAGGTCTGGCAGGTCCGGCGGCCGCCGGACCAATGTTTCGCCAAAAAAAAAGAAAAAAAAAGAAAAAAAGCAAGAAGCTCGTATTCAACCATGCCGAGGGTCAAGTCCTACACAGTAGATCTACAACCCGCCAGGAAAGGCTCAATCACATGAATCATGATGTTCCTGAATGTCCATAACTACTGTAAAACATGTAATTTTCGGTGTAACTTTATTTTCGGTGATTTCGGTAGAGAAACCAGGCACCTATTTTTAAATTACACCTAAAAGGCACTAGAGTATGCGCTGTATGTGAAGGGAACGCTGGTCACCTAATTCTACATTACACCTCAAGCCTGGTAGATCCCCGACACCGAAATTTTAATGCACCTAAAATTACATATTTTAGAGTACTTGCATTACTTACAAGAAACTGCTGGACGGCTAGTGCCTGAGGAGTGAATTTGAACGTGGAAGTGAGCATCAGCTCTCCCAATTCGAACAGCTTTAAAACCTCAAGTCTTCCATGATACCACAGTATTTGTTCATGTCAATCCTTTTACAAGTAAAATCGCCCTCTTCATTCTGTAGAGACAGAGCCAAGCGAGCTGTATTCCCAGCGCTGACATACGGTATGTGCATGCGGTATGTTCTTCCTGCAGCTGTGGACTCTGCTGCTGGATACCATGTGTGATACCGTCCATGCAAGACGTCACACATCACTGCTACAACTGCCAGTACGTGGTCGGGCAGTACAGGTCACGATGACCAACTACTGCTGCCCCGGCAGCGCGCGGTCAGTCAATGCCAGCTGCATGGAGTCCTCGCAGTGGCACCCAGAGGCACTGGTCCATGGCATGTGTGATGTTGTGCAAGACACCAGACACTGCCAGTACTGGACGCATTGCTCTCACTTACCATATCCCTAGATCTCTTTTATGGTTTTCATGGAAACCTGCTAAGCCTAGCAGAGCGGCTAGGCTTTCATACTCATTTCAGGCGTGACAGCCTTTCATTCAAATCTGAGAACTTCTGGTTGAAAATTTCATTCCGCCAAGATTCAAGAGTGCACAGGTGATCTCTTGTGTTTGTGCACACCTTGCCTTTTCAGCCACCTTTCAAAGTTTACATAGCAATTACTCTAGCATGTCGCCGATATTTTCTCTAGCACTGGTATTTTGGCTTGCATGCATTTTGAACTAGCCAGAATGCAATAGGAATTGCAGCATGTTTAACTTGTCCGCATGCTTCTGATTTAGCGGCTTGCGTGTTGAAATCTCATGAATAATCCATGCACGATAGTAAAGTTTGCAAAGTGAATTCCTGTATGACCTGCTCGTATCATGATAATGATAGCATGTTTTTCGCCAGTAAAATTATGTGGGAGGGGATTTGTGTACTGTACATGAACGTCTGTAGTGTCAGAAATACTATTGAGGTCGCAGTATGCTGGGGTTGACACTACTCAATAGTACACTCAGGAGCACTGTATGGCGAAGTACTAGTACATGTACTGTACATGATTGATTGTACATGTACAGGATATGCATATACCGGTGCAATGACTTTATTACAATGATGATTGTGTGTCAGGGGTCGTCCATAAAATATCGAGCTTTTTTCACAAAACGAAATAATTTCGTTATGGGGTACCGGGTGGGAGGGGGTTGACCAATTTTGTTTCAGAAAACACTGATTCATGTACATATTATACATGGCCGTTGTATATTATGCATGTACAGTGTATGTCAACATTTTTTACGTTCTGAGGGGGAGGGAGGGAGGGGTTGGGTCTAAACTACTGAAGTATTCGTTTGGTGAAAAACGTTCGATATTTACGGACGGCCCCTAAGGGGTCGTCCATAATTATCGAACTTATTTCACAAAACGAAATAATTTCGTTATGGGGTGGGAGGGGGTTGACCAATTTCGTTCCAGAAAACATTGATACATGTGCATGCCCATAGGAGCAGTTACACACTTGCAACTTTTGTTGTATATGCATGCATATGTCAAACTTTTTTTACGTTCTGAGGGGGAGGGAGGGAGGGGTTGGGTCTAAACTAAATTTTTTAATTCGTTTGGTGAAAAACGTTCGATAATTACGGACGGCCCCTAAACAAATTATTATTTACGACAGTTACAGCACAGTGCACTCCATGATCCAGAGAGTAGAGTTTTGGCACTGATGCCGAGGATGCAGTGTATACAGTACATGTCGAAAGTCTTCATTGCATCACCTGGTGCATGGTCACAATCATGATTTTAGCATCTTGCTGAATGTGACGCAATGAATCTTTAGACATGTACTGCATCAGTGTCCATGGTGTCAGAAGACTCAGACTCAGAACCAGGGAGTGTATTTTTAACTTACTAGAGAGGTTTTGCAGAGCGAACGTTCGCAATGATTTTCGCGTTCTGGGTTGCGAAAACTATTGCGAACGTTCGCGCGAAATTTGTGTTTTGCATGTTTTTCGCTCCCAGGAATTTTCGCGTGCACTCGCTTGTTTGAGAAGACTTCTTCATCCGATTATTTTGTTGTTGCGAGTGACGGCACCCTGAGTCATGGCCTGAGACGAGAGCTCTTTGACTACCTTGTCCATGGCCGGAGACTCACAGACAAACGGGTTGGCTTGTGCCGTAATCTGGCGCATGAACACCTGAAATTCAAAAAGGCATCGCGCGTTCACGGATGTAACCGACTCTGAGCAGTGAGAAGACGAGCAGGCAGGAGATCGGGGATGGTTCCGGAGATGAAGCAACACGGGCTGCCACAAGTATAGGAAAGCTAGCACCCGCGGACCAAGCCAAGAGTAGAGATCAAGCACAAACATGAGGATTGAGGGTGGCTCACCGCGCACGAACAGTCCACAAAGAGCGAACATTACTGCGAACGTTTGCATGTTTCTCGCTCCAAGAAAATTTCGTGTGCACTCGCTTGTTTTTTAGAAGTGTTCTCCATCCGATTATTTGTTTGTTGCGAGTGGCGGCACGCGCACCAGGTACCCTGAGTCACGGCCTGAGACGAGAGCTCTTTGACTACGTTGTCCATGGCCGGAGACCCACAGACAAACGGGCCGGGTTGGCTTGTGCCGTAACCTTGCGCATCAACACTTGAGATTCAAAAAGGCATCGTTGATGTAACCGATTCTGAGCAGTGAGAAGACGAGCGAGCAGGAGATCGGAGATGGTTCTGGAGATGAAACAACACGGGCTGCCAAAAGTATCGGAAAGCTAGCACTCGCGGACCAAGCCAAGACGGCAAGAGTAGAGATCCAGCACAAACATGAAGAGTGAGGGTCGCTCACCGTGCACCAGGCTGACCAGCGGTCCACAAAGAGCGAAAATTACTGCGAAAGTTTGTTTCGCGTTTCCTGCAACTTTCGCGTTCAAAACTGCGAACGTTCGCACGAAGTTCAGGGCTCACAGCCGCGTACAAAAGCGTGGGCGCCATTTTGGACAGGCCGCTGTCACGCGAGCTGTCACGCGAGCCAGGCAGTATGCCAGAATCGTGTACATGCGATCGGGCAAATATCTCACGAAGCTTGAAAGTGGAGTGCATTCAAAATGTTCATTTGTACTGATGCTTTCTCCTAGGCCTTTCAAACTCTAGGAACATACTCTCAATACCCATTGTAAGGATTTGTCCGAGAGTTTTTTGTTTTAATCGATACGGTTTGGCGTACATACGGGGCCAAAGTATCAGTTGGTGCAGGCGTAATTCTGATATGAATTATTGTCCTAAAATTGAAAAGTCTCTCGGACAAATTCTTCTAATTTTCCTACTGAAAATTTTAAGCTATTGGCCATCAAAATCGGGCAAGAGACGGGTACAAACGAACATTTCGAAGGCGACGCTATCTGCAGTACAGGTGCGAGGAAGAACCGCGCGCGCTGGACCGGTTGTGAATGCGGAAACAACACTACAGCAAGGCAAATTTTCGAAATGTTTTGCTACTCGCCTGGCGCTTCATCGCTGTGTCCTTCAGGAGTTATGGCCGACTGAAGAAATACATGGCCAGCACAACGGCGAAGCCACTGGACGTGTTCTCTTGCAACGAAACGGAGTGGCGGATCAAATAATTCACAACTCCACATCGTCACTACTGCGTTCCGCGGCTCTTCGCAGCGGACCAGGCGTATATTTACATTGGACACAACAGGACTTCACGGCGGAGAAACTAAAACTAGAACTAGAACACTAGAAAACTAGAACACTACGTGAGTCATTGCTCCATGCCTTCAACATCCTCTCCCGATCCTCTCCCGATTCCGTCACCCGCGCCTCTGCATTAGCGGCGTAGCTGCCGGGCAGTAGATGTTGAACTCTTTCGTGTTCAACGAATGCAGGAATCTGCTCGGGGCTACTCCTCGCAGGACTCCGTGTGTGGACAGTCTGAAGGAAGAATTCGGCCGATGAGGCCAACAATGCTCGCGAAATAGTCCACTCGGAAGGAAACAATAACAACCGAAACAAATGGAGAACTGTCTCCGTCTCCTTCACCATCCACGGCTCAGTTCTTGTCACAGCAACTCAGCCCAAGCAAGTCAAAATCTCCTTGCGATTGTGAGTGCTACGCCTGCGCTTAGCAGTCACGCGTGCCCGTTTCTATGGTGATCAGATCCAATATGTCCTCCCACGTAATCGAGGTTTTGGCATACCGGCTGTGAGCCCTGAAGTTTCGCTTTTCGTGACGTCAAACGAAAATTCGCGCGAACGTTCGCTCTGCAAAACCTCTCTAGTATTTTACTACTCCCTGGCCAGAACTCTACTCGTGCTCTGCATGCGCCATGCGGCCTTGGCCTGGGCCGCCTGCTGCAGTGTGCAGGACTGCCAGTACTGCAGTGCCAGGCAGTGCCAGCCGGTCCCTAGCCCTAGGCTAGGCCCTGACTCTCTTACTAATACTAGTAATACTAATACAGTAATAGTAATACTCTCGACTCTAGTCTAGCTCTGACTCTGAGTCCTGAGTCCTGACTCCTGAGCCGGATGCAAGAGCGACGTTACGTCACTTCCTTCGATCTGGATCATGCATGTTATGTGTATCTTATGTCATGGTCCTGGAAGTACTGCTACAAGTGTAGACTGCTAGTACAGTGCTGGCAACTGAAATCCGACCACCCTGAGCGGTGGGTTCACATTCTAGCGGTCTCTGATTCGTAGTTTTACCATCGTGTTCGGTCTTTGCGATGTGAGCGCACCGCTCAGGGTCGGATTTCATTTGCCAGCACTGTAAAAAGTCATGAAAACTGAAAACCATAGTCGATTCATGACGTGGCCGCATTAGCCGCATGACTAGTAATACTACAACACAGTAAAAATAGCTGAGTAGTACTACCATGACTACAGTAGTAGTCTACTGGTCTGGACTGGACTGGTCAACCCGAACTGGCCGAAGTCTAGCTTCTACCGCGTAGAATCTACCGACACTACAGTAGATCTACCGTGCTAAATCTGCGAAGGACATTCTACAACCTTTGTTTGTACTATTATTTTTACTCTTTAGTTACCTGTAGCTGTTTGAGCGCTAGCGCTGTGCTGCTGGGCAAAACAGTAAACTGCCAGGACTGTGCCCAACTTCCCAAGTGTCGCATGGTGTGTCACATAGTGCAGCGTAACAGCAGCGTGACGAGGAAGCCAGGCGTTGCGACTGACAGCGGCAGACCGCGCGGTGGGTGATAGGCCGGCAGGACATCTCCGAGTTGGACACTGTACGGAGAAAGCAATAATTAGTTATTTTGTTGGCACAATGGCGATGAACAGGCTTGTCGAGGCCTGTTTTACGCTTCTACTAGTATGGTGTTTGGAAGTAACCAGTCACAGCTTGCCCATGTCAAAATCCAGCTACGGTAAGGACGTCCGCCGTTCTTGTTTGTTCATTTCATACCAGTCTGTGCGCAGTTCCAGAATTTAGAAATCGATCATCTCAAAATGTTGTGCACAAACTGATATCAATTTCAATCGCTACTTGTATTAGGGGGAACTATCTGAAAGATATGTTCCGCGGCACGCCAGAATATGTACCATAACTTTTTTTGAGGAACGAAGTATTGAATCTGTGGCTGTGGCGTTATAACCGTTGGGCCAGTACTTCCCCTTCAGTCATAGCCACCTGCTTTACATGCCTCTCTGTAATCTATGCGGCACCCTGGGTTTCAGCCCATATCTGCCATACGTCAACACAATGCATTGGCATGAGCGTGGCACATACGCATACTAGTAGATGACTGTAGTCTGGTCAAGTGAAACCCAGCCATCCAACCAATCCCCGGTGTGTCCGGTCCTATTTTTGTGTGCGGAAATGAACAGGAGTGCACAATACTTGTAGTGGCATGACATGCGCATGCATGATCGCGTGATGATCGCAATGATCTCATCGCAATGTCGCGTATAACAGCAGATGCTTACGGCCGCATATGCCGGGGTTCGAACCATGCTTCAAACCATGCTTCTAGGTAAACATCATCGGTCTACACTGTACAGTGCATTCTGTCACGTATGTACTGTGCGAGTACCATGCTGTCGGGTGCCGAGAAACCCCAAGAACGAACAGTATAGATTTTCACCAAGTACAGCATACCAGTGTGTACACGGCTACTCAACTACAGCGCTGGCAACTGAAATCCGACCCCCTGGGCGGCGCGTTCACTTTCTAGCGGCCTCTATTTCGGGTCGTTGCGAAGTGAGCGCACCGCTCAGGGGGTCGGATTTCAGTTGCCAGCGCTGTATGTACAGGCCGTAATACATAAAAACACGAGCGGCGTAGGCTATGAGGCGGACCCCCTAGTTTTTTGTAACACGACAGCACTGCACTTACTGTACTGTGTACTTACACGTGCACCGTACTTGACCTGTAGTTATACGGTATTTCAAGTTGCAACACCGTGGCTCTGAAATAAGCATGGCTTCTATTCAAATCGTACTTTTGTGTCACGGAGCTTTTTGAAAAATCGGCTTCCGTTCGAGGCATGCTTCTATGCGGGTCATGCTTGAATACACAACATTGCAGAACTCTTTCTAATTGTGCGAAGACTCCCCTATAGCCATCCGTTATATCCATACATCTTTACCGCACTCTACCAATCTCTCCGGGCTACACGATCACCTGGCCCGAAACGTTTTCAATATAAATTTTGGTTTGTACCCCGAGACCGCGGGGAGTAGAGTAAGGATACATGGATATACTGGCTTGGAAATCCTCGGGGTATATCCTGTAATCGCACAACGGAGCCTAGTTTCATTTTCTGGAGTGCGGCAGGTGAGTATCTCCACCAGCTGGTGCTATTATTTCCGGCACATCCTGCAGTGTGTGTGCAAGGATACATCATTCCAGTGCACTGCCTGCAGTGTGTGTGCAAGGATACATCATTCCAGTGCACTGCCTGCCCGTGCCGATTGTTCAGAAGCCATAGAGCATGACTGCAGCTGCTGCAGTGACACATTGTTTTCACATTCGCTGCAAACGGTTCAAGTCAGTGATGCTACAACTTACTGCGATGCTTATAATAGTGTGTGTTGGGGGTAGAACAAGCTGGCTGAGTAGATAAGCTGGGTTTCTAGTGGATGTGGTGACGAGTTCTGGCAGCCTGACATTTTAATTTTTAGTCTTTCGTGACCGTGCACCCATTTGCATGCCCATGGTGGAAGAAAACTACTAGGGGCGAGGAGTGCAGCTCATGCAGATGAAGGTAGACTAGGTCACCTTGCTATTGCGGCCTGGGTGGATAGCACAATGTGCTGTTCGGCAATCTGTCAGCCCATGCCCGAAACATTGAGTGGGCATGAGCTTGTAGCAGTGATGACTGGCACACTCATTTATTCATAGCCTCTGAATTCCTGTCTGTTCGTTGATTTAATAAGTTTTTTGTGTGTTTTGATTATTGGTTTGCATACAGGTTTGGATGACTCCGTGTTAATATATTCCGATGCTGCGGACAGCACATCCTACCCGATGTCTAGCGAGCAAGAGATTCTACTCAGCAGTGAAGACATGGGTGTGGTAACCAGTTCAATACTGTTGGAGTCATTCTCTTCCCGAAGTATTCTAGCAACACCTAGCAGAGACGTTTCTGACATGCCGTCCGAGAGCATTGTGTTGGATAGTAGTCCTGTCGAGAGGCATAGCTCGGATTCGCTTGTCGCTCTACCCCAGGCATCTACTGCTCTAACATCTGTGCAAGGCTCTGCAACTCCTTCAGACTCGTTGCCTTCCATCACGGCGGATCTGCCCGGAGTGAGCACAAGCGAAGAAAGTGCATCCACGGATAGGATGTCCACTGTGATGCTGTCAGACAATCCGTTGTCGTCATCATCACTCAGTTCTGCATCGATGTCATTGGATTATTTTTCCGGCAGCGCAAGTGAGATGAACACAATGCTTCAGGTGCCGTCTACAACAATCACCAGCTCTATTTCATCTGCTTCTGTTCAATCTGATATGGCTTCGACCTCAGCGCTACCAACAGGCGTCAGCTCAAGCTCACCAGCACTATCCACCGTAACTTCCCTTATGCCCTCGAGTGTGTTGGCGGCTTCTACAGAAAGCACAGCTCTACCTTCTGAGTCCCCAACAATGGTTCAGACGTCGATCACAAGCAGCGCGAGCTCACACACTTCCCACATGAGCACTTCTGTGGCTCCCTCAAGTATGATCTGGTCATCCAGCATGATGAGTACCCCGGCGCTTTCCTCCATTGCAAGCAGTGGGTCTGCGGTGGTGTCCACTTCACTGTCCACTGGTACTGTCACAGTGGTAGCAAGCAGCTCGTTGAGCACTGCAAGCTCCGCAGCGGTTTCACAGTCCAGCACACCATGGCATGGTTCTTCTATGACCACTGGTGTCACTGTGACTGCTACCCTGACTCCCGAACCAGCACCAAAAAGTACAACTGCTTCTGTAGTTACCTCATCCGTGCATATCCCACCTAGTTCTGTAGTCACATCGTCTATGCATATCCCACCTAGTTCTGTAGTCACATCGTCTATGCATATCCCAACTAGTTCTGCAGTGACCTCATCTGTGCATGTTACAACTAGTTCTGCAGTGACCTCGTCTGTGCATGTTCCAACTGGTTCTCCAGTAACCCCGTCTATGCATTCCACCACTGGTTCTCCAGTGACATCGCCGTGGTCCAGTGCTCCAACAACTTCCGCTGGCCCAACGCCGAACAACAAAAGGCTGATCGTCACCGCCGTGTGCACTGTGATAGGTAAGATCTTGTGTGTGTGTGTGGGGGGGGGGGGGGGGGGGGGGGAGGGGGGAGCTCTGTGTTTTTTTCTTAAAGCCGATCCGGGATGAATTTGGGCTCAACGAACAGTTCTTGATTTTGTGGTTTGGGGTTGGCCTTCAATTCATGGGTCATGTTACTCCTGACCCATAATTTATATGACCGGTTTCAAGAATGTCCTTATGAAATACTTGCCATCGTGTAGAACTACTGTCGTGGACATGGAAATCCGGTCGGAGGGCACTGGCCATGCAGCCGTGAGTACGCATCCGAACAGCATGTGCACTGTGTGCAACGTTCTGTACGCACTGAGGGTGCCGGCTCTGCGTCATTCGACGGGACTTCCATGTCAACAACAGTAGAAATAATCAATTCCTGCAGATGTTTCACTGATGCTCAGTGCAAAGAAAGTCGGCTACTCTCAGGTCGGAAACTCGGATGTTGAGCCAATATTTTATGTAGAAAGGAAAAGAACATTGGATGCGAGTTTAACTGTCCACCATGGTAACTGGAGCACTGTTGGTTAGCGCTTGAGAGATGAGCTAGGTGTCAGGTCTTCGAATGGCTCAGTGCTCTGTGAGTTGTGTGCCTAGTTGTTGCACTTTCTGACTGTATATTGTAGTATCTAGTTATAGTGGTAAAGACACACCTGGCAATATGGCGGTAAACTAGTTATAGTGGTCGACAGTTAAACTCGTATCCATATTTTCTTTTGCTTTCTGGAACAATTTGCAGCGTCTCTGATACTTCAATGTAATAACTGCATCTGGGCAATCCACACCAGTCCAAGTGGACACTAGGAAATTTTAGAATTGAACTTTTCGTTCCCTTTTCTTCATGGGCTCAATAAAGCAAAAAATTACTAAAACAGCAATTACATGGGCAACGAATTCAGAGAGATAAACATCACGCTACAAGTGTGAAAAGATCGTGTTAGATCAAAGTTGCACTCGGGTGCTTTAGAGGCATTGTACATCCGCAAGTTGTCCACTGATTTGTGTGTTCAGAACGAACATGTTTGTCCCTCCTGTAGTTTGGTGTTAGTCCACGTGTGAGTAGAGAGGTTTTGCATTCCGAATTTCAGAATTATTTTCGGAATGTGGCGGCAGAAGTTGAAAACGTAGTCGAAATTTCGGAAGTGTGGTGGCGAAAGTGCATGATTTTCCGAAAATACATTTTCGGCTCTTTCCTGTTTGGGAGCGCAAATTATTTGAATTTTTTATTTTTTTCTGCTGCTGTCACTGATCATATTTGAAATTTTTTCCACGTGTGTAGTTTTGGTTTACGCCGGCTTTTGCTGCTCTCGCTGATCTCGCCGTGTTGACTAGATCTTCTCACATTCTATCTTCCTCTGCCATGGAGCCTACTAACAGTACAAGACAGTAGTTTGTCAACCTTCAGCTGTTGGATCACTCGGTCCATCACTCAGTCCATCGTCGTCTTCGAACCGCACCCAAATTTGGTTTGACCTGCACATGGATTTGATCCTGCTCAGGCAACTGCTATTTTTGCCCAACTTTGTTCGCGGCTCTGTGGGGTTCGAGGAGACTGCAAAAGTTCTAGCCTCGTCTGAGCCAAAGTTTGCTGGTACCGAATATTTCGAATCTGCGAGATTCGAACACAAAACGTTTTCGGTTTTGGCGGCTTCGATACTCTCCATTTTGTTTTGCATGGCAAAACTTGGAAACAAAGTCGAATCAGATTTTCGGAATGCAAAACACTGAAAATGACGTTTTTCGGCACGTACTTTTTCGGAAAAGCACAGCCGAAAACATTCCGAAATTCGGAATGCATAACCTCTCTAGTGCTAAGAATAATCTTTCCTCTTGATACGTTCGATGTGTTAGTATTAATAATTGATTTTCATGCTGGGTTATATTTTTGACTTTTTGACTTTTCACACTTGTAGTGTGATGTTCATCTCTCTCAGTTCTTTGCCCGTATAATTGCTGTCTTAGTCATTTTTGCTTTTTTCCCTGTAAGAGCCGATGAAGAGAAGGGAACGAAAACGTTCGGTTCTAAAATTTCCTTTTCCTTTCTACATTAAAACAATTAATTATTATTGGCTCAACGTCCGAGTTTTAGTGCTGAGAATAGCCGACATTCTTTGCACTAAGCATCAGTGAGACTTTGAAGATCTCACTAAAATTAATTGCGAAATCTCTGCAAATCTTAACCCTTTCCGGGTTTATGACGAGTATACTCGTCATGCAGACCCTATCGCGTCTGGGCAATGACGAGTATACTCGCGCTATACTTTTTGTACAGTCCACGTACCGTATGCACTGGATAAATCACTGTACAAACAGCCATAACTCTGGAACGGAATATTGCACCGCCATGATCAATAGCTCATTGGAACGGTCTTAGAAAGGGCTTTCCAGAGGTGTTTTTGGTTTGGCGATAGCTCAACAAATGATCGAGCGGCGATAAATTGAACGCTCAATTTCAATCTGAACAGTCTTACTTTCCGTTGGGCGATTTTTTTGCGACTTTCAAGGCATCCAAGGTTATGGTCGACATGTCTAAAGCGTTCGACAGAGTCCAACATGAACGTCTCGTCATAGGCCTACACTCACTGGGTTTTCACGTCGCTCATTGTCCACCATTGAGAGATTTTTTCAGCGAAAGCTCCTCGTGTTTGTATTCCGTTGCCTACACTCTCTGTTAAGTCACTTGTTTTCGTCTTTTTTCACCCCAACCGCACCTAATCAAGAAGATCATGACCAAAGGGCCACTCGCGGACAGGTGACATGGTTCTTACGTGTCCCCTTCCTTCCGGGTCCTGCTGGACGGTCCTCCATCCGTTTCCAAGGTGCCATTCTCTGGAATAAGCTACCGGCTGAAGTTAGATGTATATCACAAAAGGATGAATTCAAGAGCACCATCTGACACTGTATCGAGTCGCTTGTCCCTACTTCTTTGTGTCTTAGCCTCCAGAACCGCTAGTTCTTCAGTTCCCTCTTTTTCTGCACGATTGCCTGGTTTGTAAGTTCTCACCTCTTTTCTGCACCATTGCTTTATGCTCTATTTATGTGCACCATTGCCTTCAGGAACGCTGTATTTTGTTCTCGCATCCTTTCTGGATTTTTTTCTTTGTCTCCAGAAACGCTTGGTCTGTAATCGTCAGGGAAATCTCGCGTAACAACTAAACTATCAGTATCGTAATCCGACATCATCATTATTCATTTTTCTCATATCTTTCTCATACATATTCATATCGCAGATTTCTCGTTTTTGGTAGGAATCGGAGAATCCTCTCTCCGGTGAGAAGGCAGTATTGCCTGTGCCCTGAACGAATTCAAATAAAAGAATACAACAAAAACAACAACAAGGGGATTTCCCAATGACGTGTCAAAGGCAACATGACGTATGAGTACATCGTTTGAATCACTTGAATCTCACGAGTTCGGTGCAGTTTGAATTGTACCGTCAACTTCGCTGATAACGACTGCGGATATAACGACAATTCGCGAATAACGACAGAATTTCCATGCCCAGAGCAAAGTCCCATCTATCTGTAATACATAATTATAATGAGACTTCGGGTATAAGGACATTTCGCGAATAAGGACACTTTTCTAGTGCCCCGCCGATTGTTGTTATATGCAAAGTTGACTGTAGTTCTACGGTGAGTATGAGCCCCGAACCGAAGGAAATTGTTGTGCATGGTCTTCATGGCAAACTGGCGCACGATAGGGACACTGTTGGCGAGGCTAGGGGCGTCCTTGGGGTGCTGCATACTCCGAAAGCACGTGCAAGATGGCGAGCAGGAAAAGAGCTTTCTAGTAAGCCATAAATTTTGAAAATCTGTTGCGGAACAATAATGTTGTGACAATGTGTTTGTTGCTATCTCCACCATTGTACTAACGCACTGAATCACAGTGCCCAGACACAGTAAAATGCACTGTGACCCTGAAAGGGTTAATTTTCCGCCCACAGAAAAATTTATCTGTTGCATCAGATTTATTCGCGTACAGTAAGTATGTTACGGGTGAGGTAATGTTTTTTAGGTGTTGTTCCTGCGTACGTGGAAAAGTCAGTCTGACTGATTCTCACATAATTATTAAAGCAAGCTGTTGGCCATCTTCGCGACTGCTCCTCCCACAAAATTGAAGGAGCATGGCTGCTTCTATAAAGGATAAATGTTACATTTGTCCGTGTATGATAAATTTGAAAAGCACGTGCATCTGTGTGTGTGTGTGTGTGTGTGTGTGTGTATGTGTGTGTGTGTGTGTATGCGTGTACGCACGTGTGTACGTGTGTCTGTGTGTGCGTGTCTGTGTGTGCATGCATGAGTGTGTGTGTGTGTGTATTGCAATTGCTCGACTTAATTACCGGGACATCTTCTGTTGAATTATTTATTCTCATGATGGCACCATCGCCAACAAGTTCTGTCTACTCTTTATTGTGCAATGTAGGTGTACTCATCGCATTGATCGTCGTGTCTGCACTGTTGGTACGTTGGGTCAAAAAACGCTCCGACTACCAACCCGTGGAGCTGTCGGAGCTTCTTGCACAGCAGGACGAGGATGATGACAAGCTTGTGCTGTAAAGTAATGATTTCTTCACCGATTTGGCAAGACGCTCTACTTGAAAAAGGCCCATTTGGCTGCTGTCCTGTTCCTCATTCTATTGTGCAGAACATAATCAATTGCTAGTTGTGTCATCAGCTTGCTCAGCAGTTCCACACAGCTTGGCCGAAGTTTCTTTCAATCTTCCAATCAGCAAGCTGCACTGTGTACGTGTTCGCCCTATAGGGCCCGCATCTATTCTCTTGTATGACTCACTCTATAATGTCAATAATGTCTATAATTATTTCGAAAAAACATCTCAGTACCGGTACCATGCGCCCGCTGACATGGATAATGATTCTGTGTAGGTTCTGCTCCGCGAAGGTATCAGGCGGGAGACTGCAAGATTTGCTCTTGAAAGCAGTAATCCCGCAAGAGAGCTACTGTAACTGGTCATGGCCAATGATTACACCGGGCTGGTACAGTCAATGAACTCAGTTTCTAAACACTGGTCACTCCGCTCCCCGTCAGGCCTGGAGCCGTTGCCAGCGACGTCATTGTCCCCAGTAAAACCCAGTTTGAGGTCCGCGTAATATCTGTCCAAATACACTTCACAATTTTATAAAATTTCACCGCATCCCAATCGGCCCCTTCGCCGGGGATAACGCATACTACTGTGCATATAACATTTCACTGGATTGTCAGACTTGGCCCATCATCAGGGTTGAAATGAAAGAATTGTACTACTAGTACATGTATTTGCAAACAATTTAAAAAGCCGACTTTGTTCTTGTATACATGTACTTCTTCTATCATCAAAAAAATCGATTCTTGGTTGGAGGTAAGCGAATCAGCACAGGACGCACAGAATCAGCACAGGACGCACAGAAGCCATAATAGTTTCGACCAGGCGCTTCGTACCATTACTTTTCAAGTCGAACACAATGGTGATTGATTTAAAACGCAGTTGCAAGCAAGTCCTTATAGCGGGCACTTTGGCGGCAAGTTGTGACTGTTTTTGACATTGTAGTCGCCACTGTTGTTTGATAATATTGATTTTGTCACTATGTAATTGGCGCCGCTAGTGCTGTCTTGTGTTATTTCGTTACTGCTCTGACCACAAAAGTGCAGATTATTAGGACTTGCTTGCTACCATGTTAATCACAATCGTACTCGACTTGAAAAGTAATGGTACGAAAATCCTAGTCGAAGCTATTTAAAATAGAGAGGTTCTGCAAAACGAAATTTCGCGACGGGCCTTGCGAAAATGTGTACGAAATTTCGCACGAACTCTGTGTTCTGCACATTTTCGCAGTTTGCACCCGTCAAGTGCACGTACGCTAGGGGTGTGCGGATAAAGCTCGAAAGGGTGGTAGATTCTGCTCGAAAAGCAGTGAAATTGGCAGAACCATACAAACCTTATGGCGGGCAATTCCTCGAATTCTGCTCCATTTTCTTTATCCACATACCAAACATGACATGAAACTTACCAGAAAAAGTACCAAATTCTGCCAATTTTTCTGCCGTCATTATCCGCATATGCCTAACGTACGCCATGACCCGATCTCACGAAACTTCCTAAACTTCCCTGCAAGTTTCGCGTCCAAAGTAGCGAAAGTTCGGGCGAAGTTTCTCATTTCGTGACGTAGAGCGAAAGTTCATACACATTTTCGTTTTGCAAAACTGTTATGGCTTCTGTGCTTTGTGTACTGATACATAACATGTATCATCAAAAGCAGACCATGAGGGAAGTAGTGCACCACGGTTTGTGTTCATTGAAAACTACTTCATTGAATTCACTAGTACTTTAAGCAGATTCTGAATCACCTCAACGAAAGCCTTCACTTCGCTGGTGTGGCCGTTGAAATAACCATTCCGTTCACTTCCCATATCAAATGTCAGCATGTTGAGCTTTGGCCACGAGGGCAACAATTGAACTTTAGTTTCTTGATACAGTCTTCCACTAGACCTCCCCGGTGAGGACCACGATTATCAGTTCACTCCATCTTCCTACGGTGCACTGCTTTTACTATTGTTTTGTCCTATCCCAATCTCAAATTCTCCCCATTATCGTTTGCAAAGCCAGTGCTCCCCTCTTGGATGCACATGTTTCTTTTCTCCTATGTATCGGCGCACAGGAGTAACAATGATTCCGAGACCTTTGGTCGGAGGAGTTACTTTTGCCCCGCCCCCACTTCCATCCAATATGCCACCGCCCCCGCTGTGCAGCATCTGATGGTACTGTGGTATTCAGTAAAAAAAAAAAAAAAAAAAACCACGTTACCTCACGTATTCGTATCAGCAGTTCAGGCATGGTAGTGGCCGGGCGAAGTGAAACATCCTAAAGCTGGTTGTGCGAGTGGTAGAGGATGAACTATTTTCTATTTCTTTTTATTTTGTATTTTGTCTGGTAACACAGCCCTACCAAGAGACATGTGGAGACAAACACAAAACAAGACACATGGGTTGTAGCCTTGTAGGGACGATGTGCCGATGTACAGGAAGCAACTCGATCGACCAGAGGTACATACATGTACACCCAAGTGAGTCATGATTTTGTGTTTTAACCCCGCATCACTGAGTCGATCATTATGCGTTGATGTAGCACAAAAGCCAGAGTACTGTAGCTATGGCTTCTTGAGCATAATAACTCTTTGATGACACTCCTCCCGTCTTCGAATCAAGAAGGAGCACCTACGCTTAAAACTAACTTCCTTCTTCAGCTAGTTCGTCTCTGCGATATTAATGATATTCGTGTTGCTAGGATAATACGGCAAATCAAGCTAGGCTTCTCGTCGCCAACACTTTCCCTATAAAGTGGGGCATGACATTGATAAACCCTACACCAGTACAGGGTTTATAAAAGACCATGAAGTGGCTGCAGTCGAGTTTACACACCTTACTAAATATTTTGGTGAATGGACAGGCATTGCAGGAAGCAACCGCGACTGAGTGCAAACAAGAGGCCCCAATGAACTGAGCATTGCAGGAAGCAACCGTGACTGAGTGCAAACAAGAGGCACCAATGAACTGCGGACAACAGGGATGAGTAAACAAATAATATTTTATAGGTTAATATTGAATTCCAGCGTAAGACCATAGTGATGCTGGTAATGGTGGTGATTTGTTTCGCTTTCAATTTTAAAATCATCTCTTAATACTCGGATGGTGAGCCAATTAAATTATACCGTACTGGCAATATATGGTCGCAGTGAGGCCATGAAGCGTTACATTGGCACATGTTTACCGCACGCAGGGCGTTACATGCAAAGTCGCACAGGAGCCGTTACACAGGTTTCTATATTGCCGCAGTCTTTTTTTTGCTATTGCCGCATCACTTTTTTGCTATTGCCGCATCATTTTTTTGCTATTGCCGCATCATTTTTTGCAAACTGCAATGAAAAGATCGCCGCACCCCGCCGGACGCGCGTTACGAACGCAACGAACATTTGTCGCACTAGCCTGGTCGCGCGTTACGCGGCAACATTATATTGCCAGTACCGGTATACCGTAGTGAAAAAGGAGAAGGACAAAATGTTACGAGTTATGACGAACTGTCCACCAACGTAACCAGATCCTATACAGTCAGGGAGTGCGACAAAATGGCACAAAACTGACAAGTGTCAGGTGTCAGGTCGCTGAATGTCTCAGTACGTACTCCTTGTCAGTTTTGTGCCATTTTGTCGCACTCACTGACTGTATAAGATCTGGTTACGTTTGTGGTAGGCATGGGCGGGTAATGCTAGTTATTTGCTGCGATAATGCTAAAGGCAATGCTCATAATAAATATGAGGATATAATGCCACTTATAATGCTCACACTACTCCATGATGCCAGTTTGAAAGTTGGAAAAGTCGATTTTAAAGGGGAAGTGCATCGGTTTTTCGAGTAGGGTCCAGAAGAAAGACAATTTGATATCGGTTTGAATGGCATATCTCTCGCTTCCATACGATAAGCCAAACTTGCCAAATCGCCAATTGTATGCTCACGTTGCCATAGCGACCAGCGGAGTGATGATGTACGAAAGGCTTAGCTCCTCCACAGAGAAGGTCGATCACTGCATAAATTGGTCATTTTCAATTGTCTTATTGTATTCACGATGTGAAAGAAGTGCTGTGTTCAATGCTGTTACAGGTTTAGTGCCGTGAACTATTTGTCGCCCTTCTCATGCATTTCCCTAGGCTGACTGTGCCTAGGAAATGGTTTCCTCCAGGACAAGACGCTTGGATTTCGCCGTCTCTCCTGAGACATTTTCAGCAAACTTTCAAACCTACGACATTATTTCATTCATCAATCTCCACCACCCGTCGTCTCACCTGGCTTCAGAAGATGTTACGAGAGATAGTGTAATGGGTAGCCGAGTGGTAGGCGCGGTGAAATCAACAAGAATTACTTTTATTCTACTTCTTTCAGGTACACACATGAGATATAATTATTAGTGAAAGAAGAAGCGGCAAATAAATGAGTTTCTCTCCGGTGCACACCTGGAGGTTGAATAGCTCGTTATTATCAAAATCTCATCTTCATCAAAACAGAAATGCGCAGCCGCTTTTATGCAGCAGACGCCGTACGCTTATATACGGAGATACACTAACACAGGGGGAAGTGGTCCCGTCCACCGCAAAGAGGGCTCAACAGCGCTGGGGTGCACTGGAGCTAGTACACAATGGAAGCGGTCCTCACCAAGAAAACACAATCCGTTGCTACTCCGAGTTTCTTGAGTTTTTCAATCGTCAGGCAACTTTTCTAACTAAAACAGGGCTGTCAGGTCCACTAAAGAAATACACAACCACACAGCAAGGCGCACAAAAAGAAAGCGTGAAGTGTGAAGAGTGAAGAGTTACCGCTAGGTGCAGGCAGTGTAAAATATTGATATCAATTGTCCATTACTGTAACAAGCGCTGAATGGAGCATGTAAATCTGGAGTTAACTAGCGCATGTCTGGCGTCAGGGGTGTAAGGCCATTACGGTGCTATATTTGGCGTTAATCATAACAATAATGGTGCAGTGTGTCTGGTTTCATTGGGCATCAGGTTGCTCTGCCCATGTCCGATTTTACGTGATTCCGTTATACTTAGCGAGCCGGTATTTGTTTGCATGACGACATTTGGCGATGATTTCACTTCGCTTGTTGAGGCTTTTGGTCTTGTCAGCAGTGAGTATACGCACCTTCTCCGTGGTGCAAAGGCAACATCTCTTCGTTGCGGGGTTGTAGGAGCTGGCCTTGTCCTTGATTCTCCAGGACAGGTGATACTCTTTGTCGTTGTTTTTCTTTTTCCAGAGGTGTTTGGAGAGCTCCGTGTTAGTGCGGTACTTTTCGTGGCGGAAGGACATCGTGTGGTTGTTGTATCTTGTTTTGAACGTTGTCTCTGCTGAGCCGATGTATGTCCTGAGCTCATCCTGGCTGGTGACGTGTGCTTCATAGATGATGTGAGAGGCCTGGCAACGTCCTTCCATGGGGCATTCCTGCTTTTTTCTACAGTTGCAAGGCTTTTCAGGAGGTTCTTGTATCAGTTGCCGCTTGTTGTGCCCACTGATAATCGCTGCGATGTTGGGCATACATGAATAGCTAACCTTCACGTTATGTCGGTTGAAGATCTTTTTCAGGGGGGTGTTTTTGAAATGCCGGTCGATCATTGTGAGGAAGGCAGCAGCGACGTTTGTTCTCACGCTACGGCTGAAAGGAGGGTTGAACCATGTTATTTTTCTTTTTCGGTTTCGCTTTCTGTTTTTCTTTGCTGGTTGCCCCATGTACTCGATACCTTCCGC